ACCACATAACTCGTTCATCTTCGTGTTTAATTTTAATTAAATCATTCAATCCGAAAACCCCCCTTTTATTTACTAGTTTTATAAAAAGAGAATTATTCCTTTCCCTGTGGATACGAACCTTACTTCATTATACTACGTATAATTGTTGTATTGAATATTATTTTGAGTGCACACCACGACAAAGTGCACGTCAAATTTGGCGCCGTTGCCGGGGAAAGGCAATTATTTTTCTTTTTATTTTATCTCATAAAAATCAAAAACAAAAAAAAAAATAAAAATAAAAATCTTACTTGTCCATTTTCTGAGCTTTCTTGAGTATATGGATACCAACATATCATCCCTAGAGAATCAAATTTCCAATTTGACTTTTCTAATAAAGGAGTTTATTTCATGTTCAAAATCTCAAGATGTCCATACATGCAACATTTGCATGTCACACAAGCATCTTACGAATTTTTGCCCAGAACTTCAAAAAGAATACTTTGAACAAAGGAATGATTTTGGTTTCCAAGAGAGGTATGATTCATTCTCCAACACATATAACCCATACTCAAGTTCTTATTCCAGCATGTCCACTGAAGACATGATCCGAGCTCTCACTATCAATGTGACAAATATGCAACAAAATTTGTCACAATGCCCGCAAGAAACAGTGTCCAACGAACAGAACTTGGACAATCAGTTGAAACAAATGCCAAACATTGTTGTAAACCACATGGGCGAGGAGGAGGAAGAAGAGGAGCTTACGGAGAAAGCTCAACCGGAGGAGGAACCTCAAAACTCAACTCAACCACCAGTCATTCCTGATATCATGCCACCATTTCCTGAGGCTCTAAGGGAAACACAAAGGGTGGAGGACAAAGATATCTATGAAATCTTCAGCAATTGTGAGTATAATTTAGACTTCTCTTTGTTCACAAATAAGCAAGGAATAATGGTGGAGTTACACAAATATATCATACTCCCTCTTATACCACCCGGATCAAAACCCTTTCTATTGACCATACTTAGTGAAAATCATGGACCCTCACTCCATGAAGCGATAGAAATCCGGATATTTGATCCCGGAAAGATTTTCAAAATAAAGGGTCAAAAAATTGAGTCTTTCTACAAGAGTCATCCGGGTGAAAATTTGAAGAAAATGAGTTATCACGATCCAAGCTTGAACGATTGAACACAATGATGGCGTCATGCCGCGACGTTAACTAAGGCGCTTCTTGGGACGCAACCCAAGTGAGGTACATCATTGTGTGTTTATTTTATTTTTTTTCTTTTTCTTTCCCCTACACAACCTCCTTTTCACCTCTTTTCATCTTTAATCTTTCAAAACACCATCCAATTCCACCCCAATCACCCCAACCCTCATAACCATATCCTTCTTTCTTTAAGAATCTATCCAAATCCTCCACCAAACCCCACACACAAAACAATCACAATCTTGTTCTCATCACTTTCCTCTTACTCCACATACCCTCTAATCCATAAACTCTTACACTCACCCCTCTCCCAAACCACAATTTTATATCTTCAAAAAAAAAACCCAAAAAAAAGGTGATGGCAATAACGAGCACTAGGGACAGTGCTCCGAGCTAAGTGAGGGGAGTCACTCATTGGTACGCAATTAATTTTTCTACCTTGTAACTTGCATTATTTTTTTTCACAAAAAAAAAGAAGAAGAGAAATGCTAGTTAGGTTGAAAACCCAAAAATGGGCAATCTAAGCAAAAAGGGCTTATAAAAAAATGAGTGAGTTGGAAAGGATGGAAAAACAAAAAGAGATGCTAGGATGAAAACCTGAAAAGGCTCCTAGGCAAAATGAGAGATATGAGAGATATATTTGTTTTTGCAGAACATCATTTAATCTCTTGACGGAAAAGAAGAATAAAAGAGGTGAAGAAAAAAAAGAGCATAGAAGGCCATGAAACCCAAGAAGATGTTATTTTTTTTATTGAGCTAAAAACTCAATGTAAAAAAAATAATGTTTTATCCTTGGTGGTCTTTTGCTTTTTCTTGTAGATTGTTGAACTTTTGAGGATTTGAAAGTGTTAAACATTTGACTTTACTCGAGGACGAGTAAAGAAGCTAAGTGTGGGGGAGTTGATCGATATTCGTGTAATTTCCGATTGTATTTTTGTATTTTTAACTAGTTTTTATTAGTTGTAGTTGTGGAAATTACACACTTTTGGTGTAAAATTTTATTTTCATTTTTATTTGTAATTTGTTTAGATTAGGATTATTCTGAGCTAAACAGGTCAAAGATCATCGAAGGGATCAAGATTGGACCTTAAAAGAACAAGGAAAGTGCAAGGAGACAAGAAAGATTTTGATTTGGAAAAAATACTCATGTACCCGGTCGGGTATTGCCTATACCCGATCGGGTATTCACTTGATTCGATTGTCCAAATCAAATCCGGGAACAAATGATCGTGGGAGCAAATTTTCGTGAAGATTTGTCACATACCCGATCGGGTATGCCGACATACCCGATCGGGTATGCCCAGAAAAGTGACTTTTTGGGCAATTTCCTAAGATACCCGATCGGGTATCCTATATACCCGATCGGGTATCAGACCCTGCAGCTCCCAAAAGCCTATAAATACACCCTTTTCCTTCACAATAAAATCACCAATTCATATACACTTCTAAGCTCAGTTTAGACAAGTTCTTTCTTTATATTTTCTTCATGTTTAGTCTCCAAATGAGGAGCTAAACTCTTCCATCTTGGTTTTGCTACTTTGAAGCTTAATGAATTTGTAAGTTGTGAGTTATTCTCTTTAATCTTCCTCCTTGAATATTAATTCTTCCTTTAAATACTATTTCTATATCAATGTTGGGGAGTGTTACTAAGATGACAATTAGTTAACATCTTGACATTAGTTATAGTAATAATTATTTCTTCCTCTACGTTAATATTGGGGAATGTTACTAAGATGACAATTAGTTAACATCTTGATATTAACTATAGTAGGATTCATCTTCTTTAATATTCTTTCTTGAGTATTAATTAATTCCTATTCATATTTCATATTAATATTTTGAACATTATTTAAAGGATCAACTAGTTTTGTTTAATATATTAATTAATACTAGAATCGGTCGATTAATACGCTTGTTATTAATTCGGTCCTTTCATAGTAGTAAACTTGGATTATTAATGCATGCATCTCATGGTTAATAATCTAAGGGGAATTAATTATATTGATTAAACCAATAAACCGCTTGTGTTGAGGTTATCAATCTCAATCGTTTTCATCTTAAGTTTATTGCTACTATCAAGTTAATATACGACGCTTGTTCTATATTGACTCGATAGTAAGTTTTATTAATGAACGCTTCTCGTTATTAATAACTACCCTCGATGAACTGGATATACTCCTCGATTGAGTATTCGAGAGGAAGATAGTTAAAGATATAACCGGGATCGACGAACATTTCATTAAGTGGATAAAAGCAAAGTCAAGTCTTCTTCTCATTAATTAAACCACATAACTCGTTCATCTTCGTGTTTAATTTTAATTAAATCATTCAATCCGAAAACCCCCCTTTTATTTACTAGTTTTATAAAAAGAGAATTATTCCTTTCCCTGTGGATACGAACCTTACTTCATTATACTACGTATAATTGTTGCATTGAATATTATTTTGAGTGCACACCACGACAAAGTGCACGTCAGCAGCGTAAGACAGTTTTACTCTTTATTCCGGAGAACTAGCAATTGTCTAGCCTCGGTTTAGAACTCAATCGGGGATCCGATCCCTTGGTATGGTGTTTACATCAAGTATTTATAGAGATTAGGAAGTAGAATTATGAGGGGAATCTAATACAATAAATGCTCAATTAAGGAACTATATTCTTGCTCAAAATAGAACTCTTCTATGCTTGATTCTCATACGATTACTTTCTCCTTTTAGTCGTCGTCCTCCGGATGAGTTCTGCCTGTTGCCAAATATCTATCAACGAGTGATAGCTCGCCACGTAAGCCCTAGGAATATCCCGGCCTCACTAGAACTCCGCCCAGGCTCGAGGTCTGCTGTTCAGCCCGGCCTGGTTGTGGGTTCCTATCGTGGGCCTAATTCCTAATGGGCTAAGCGGCTTTTAACTATGAATCTCGTTTATGGGCTCATCCTGTAATGAGGCTGATCCCGTTAAGGGCTGATCCCGTTTATGGGCTAATTCTGTAATTAGGCTGATCCCGTTAAGGGCTGTTCCTGTTCATGGGCTAATCCTGTAATTAGGCTGATCTCGTTAAGGGCTGATCCCGTTTATGGGCTGGACTACGTAATTGGGCCATGGTTTAAATCCATGGTACCATCAATATACTAAAGTGAATTATTTATGATTAATAAATATAAATCTATTTCAAACTTTTAGAAATAAAAATGCACACACATATTAGAAATTATACTTATAATTTGTGAAATAACTTGATAATAATTGTATATATCAAAATCAAACAACTCTAATTTTATTCTTCAAATCGAATACATAATTATATGTATTGTATTTGAAAGATATTTGAACCAAAAATTGATTTATATTCGTATTTATATTCTGGTTTATTACAAACGGGTTTGGAATCTGTATGCAAAAATGTATATATGGGCTACACTTTGAGGATATTGCTATCTTTTAAAAGTTATTATAGTGTTATTAATATTTTTATTAATATTGATATTAATATTATCATTATTATTAATCGAATATATTTGATTAATATTCGAATCGAATACACTGATATTCTTATTTGTATTTGATAACAACTTGAATCAAATTTAATATTCTTATTTGTATTTGTATTTGAATTTTCTGAATTTGAAAATATACGAATTCGAATCGCGAATCGAGCACAAATTATTTATTTGATTCGTTTACAGTTCTAGTGGTCACGTGGATATATACCTACTTTATTGGAGCAAGGATTTTACTTTGAAGAAATAATGCAGCTCAGCTTAATTTGTGCCAAAAAGTGGTTATCGTTTTAACATGCATGATATATGGAGGCACAAATAGCTTGCTATCTATTGTTGGCTCTATGGTCATTCAATTCTTTGCAAGTGTAGGTGCTCCAGCCTCCAGTCCTTTAAAAAATCATTTTTCTCCATAATTTGATACACATCCCATGATCCCATTTTGGCCTACTATTTTGTTGAGTAGTTTATTACTCTATTATATTGCATGCAAACACAAGCATGTTAGAAGGCTTTGGCCACGTCCCAGCTGGTTTCTTGATTCGCCCTTTTTCCCTACACTATAATCATATCTTATTTAAGCCCAACCCCAGATATATGTTTTAAGTAACTTGGGTAGATCGTATCAAGCCGGCCTGACGGAAACCGCTGTCAGGCCGAGGCCATTTGGGGACCTTCCCGAATGTTCGTCATCAAGTCTAGTTTATCCATACCAAATTTCAGCTAAAAATTCAATCGGGAAGGCAGTCAAAAAATTTTCATACGAAAACTGTGCTTTATATATATATCGTAGGGAATTTATTTGACTACCTTCCCGATTGAAATTTTAGTTGAAATTTGGTATGGATAAACTAGACTTGATGAGTAACATGCTCAACACATTTCGTCAAAAAAAATCCACCGGGAAGGGCCCCAAAAGCCCTCGGCCGGATGGCGAATCCTGTCATGCCGGACTGACATTTGGTGATAACCGGATGGCGAATCCTGTCATCCCTTCAAATGCTGTTAACCAGCAGGAAGCCCTTCCTAATCATGATGCCCCGGTGGCTACCCATACCGAGGCGGTAACCGGTGGTTTTCAACATTTGGTGAGCTGTGTTACCACAGATTTAGTTGCTGCCACAACTAACAGTGAGGACCGAACTGGATATGATGAGAACATCTCTAATATCCCGATTGATATTCCAGATACTATGCTTGGCCCAATATCGTCCAATGATGAAAATCTTTCTGAAGGACAGAAAAAAATTTAACTCTTTGTGTTTCAGGTCATTTCGAGACCATTCCAATTGAAGAGGAACAACTCGAAAGCTTTACGCAGGTCACAAGAAGAAGAAACTCTAATCCAAAAAATACACCGAACAAAGAGACTGAAGATGTACAACTATTCTTCGAAATGGGATATACATCACATCCCATGATCACCAGGAGCCAGTCCAAAAAATCACAAGACGAGACGAACTACTTTCTCTACCCGGTCGACAAGAGACTAGACTCCCCACAAAAACTAGTGGCTGCCCTGAGGAAATTCAAATTATCCCACCCAAAGGACACGTTTCACTGTCCCTATCTACATAAGGCAATAAAGTTTCACAAGTTCAACAGGTCTATGTCTGCATCACATGGAATTCCGTCAAAAAAATTAATTGCTAATGTAATTTGTTCCTTCTTTAAAGTTTGATTTAATTTTTGTACTTTCAATCTATTGTACTCTCAAGTTATTTTTAATAAATTTGGGAGGTGTTCCCCGGCACCCCCACCTAGTGTGCTTTTTTCCGGGACCCAAAAAAATGGTTCAAGCATTCATCTAACCTCCCTATTTTCTTGTATTCCATCTTGTTATTTTCTTTATTTACCTAGCATTTCTACTTCATGATGATATTTTCCCATCTCAATTACACTTGGCGTAAAATACGATGGAAAAATAATATCCACCTTATGCAACAATCGAGTCCGTATATCCTACAACCGGCTGTACGGTGAACACCGTACAGCCAGGTAAATTTGAAATTCCCGTCAACTTCGGCCCTTTTAATTCATTGGTCTTCCGATTAAATTTCTTCTTTTCCGCTTTTGTGCTGCGTTGACGATCCTTCCTGCTTCTTTTTTCATTTGTTTGTCAGTTGTCTTTTTCACTCTTTCTCTTATTCATCCGTTCACTCTTTTTCATTTTTTTCATTAACAACTTTTGCTTTGTTGCTTCTTTCTTTCTCTTGCAATTACTTTTCATTGCTTTCCTGCTTCTTTTTTTCTTCTTTTTTTGCTTTAACAACTTTTACTTTTTCCAATAACCTTCTAACTTAATTTTTTTAATTTGTGCATTATAAAATATTTTAGTTATTAATTTTTATTTTTCTTTTTTAAATCTTAAGATGAATATTTATTAATTTCTCAATTATTGTGATCTAATTACTATTATGAGTTTTGTTATATACTAAAATGAGTATAATATAAAATAAATCTGCATGAGTAAATATAGAAAGGAATAATATAACGATTAAAAGAAAGGAACATACACAAATGAATATTTGAACACATTAGAGAATTCAAATGAGCTGTTGAATTTTTCGATGCTCATTTTGTAAGTTACGTATGCTCATCTGGTATTGATAATTTGGTATGAGCATCAGACTTATTATGTTGAGTATTATGAGGTTAATATTGAGCATCGTGATCGTTGCTTTATATTTTCTAATTAACTTTGTTTTTCTTATTTTTTTATTATAAAAAAATCTAACTTATATCTACTACATGTACATATTATAGAAATGAATAATATATATTACGATTAAAAGAAAGGACCATACACAAATGAAAATTTGAAAACATTAGAGAATTCAAATGAGTTGTTGAATTTTTGGATGCTTATTTTGTAAGTTATGTATGCTCATCTGGTATTGGTAATTTGATATGAGCATCAGACTTATTATGTTGAGTATTATGAGGTTAATATTGAACATCGTGATCGTTGCTTTATATTTTCCAATTCACTTTGTTTTTCTTATTTTTTTTTATAAAAAATCTAACTTATATCTATAATCAACTCTTAGGATTTTAATCTAATGTAATATAATACTTTTGAAACGAGCATTGATGTGACACTTTAAAATGAGCATAACATCATTACCAAATGAGCATATGCAGCTTACAAAATGGGCATTGATATGAAAATAATAAGCTTTATTATTTGAGCATTAAATTATTTTCATGTATCATCAAACCTCCTGTATTGAGTATTAGAAGCATGCAATTGAGTATCACGATCTTCACTCTCGTGTCTATAATAGACTCTCATTCGAATCTAATGTAATATGGTAATTTTGAAATATGCATTGATATGACATTTTAAAATGAGCATCAAATCAAGACTAGATGAGCACACAAATTTACAAAATGAGTATAGAAAAATTCAAAAGCACATTAAAGTATCTAATGTTGAGTATTAGAAGTCTAATGTTGAGTATTAGAAGTCTAATATTCAGAATCGTGATCTCTGTTTCATAACTTCTAATTCATAACTTCACTTTATTTTTATTATTATTTCTTTTATTAAAACTTAATAGTACTTTATAAAAATACATTGATAACATTTAGAAAATGAGCATAAGATCAATACTAAATGAGCATACGTAACTTACAAATGTTCATTGATATGAAAATCATAAGATTTGTTAGTTTGACATAACCACATTTTCATTGAGCATCAAATCTTCTCTATTGAGATGAAATTACAATTTCTGTTAAATGAGCATTTATGAACTTTTAATGTGCATTGGACCTATTATGAGCATTAAAACACTTTTAATGAGCATCAGACTTATTTATTTGAGTATTAAGAACTTAACAATGTGAATCCAATGTCATATGCAACTTTTAAAATTTGCATGAATATAACATTTTAAAAATGAGCATAGTATGAGTACAAATTCATCAAATGAGAATACATAACTTATGAAATGAGCATCGAAATATTTAAAATGAGCATTACACCTATATGCATGGATATGACATTTTAAAATGTCTGGTGTAATACTCATTTTAAAGTGAGCATTACGCCAATTTAAAATGAGCATAGATAACTTACGAAATGAGCATCGAAAAAAATTAAAAATCTCATTTAAAATCTCTAGTATGCTCAAATATCAATTTATGTATGCTCATATCAGTATAACATAAAGAATAGGTGTATATGTTTTTATTGCATCGCATTTGATATGAATTTTTGAAAGAATTGCATGAAAAAGACAAAAAGTTATTGTAGCAAAATTACATAAAAACAAAAAAGTAGGAGTTCAAAATTATAAAAAGTATGTATAAAAAGATAAAAGAAAAAATGAAGTATAGAAAAGGAAAAGAAAATTTAAAGTTGGAAAAATTAAAGTTCAAAATTAGAGACAAAAAAAACCGAAGCAGAAAAAGAAAATTGAAACATAGGAGAATTAAAGTTCCAAACTAAAAGAAGAAAAAGGAAAACCATAACTATAAAAAAGAAAGGAAAAACGAGAAGCAAAACTAAAAGAACGGAAAAACAAAACTAAAAAAACGGAAGAGCAGTAAAGTAACGGAAGAGGAAGAAAGGAGAAAACTATAAAGTTAAAATATAAGGAAAAGCAATAAAAAAAATCGGAAAGGCAAGAACGGAGGAGGAGAAACAAAGGAAGCAAAAGCCATGATCCTTAACTAATGACCTCCGATTTGCATATAATTACAAAAATACCTGGTTGTACCAAGTGACACGGTACAGCCGGGTGTATAATATATTTTGCCGCAACAATCATAGGACAGGGGCCTACCAATTGATAGTGGGTTTTAGGAGCTAATTTCTTTCGTGTATATACTAAACTATGAAGCATTAATTTGTCCATTAATACCAACAATAATGATATTCCAATGGTAGTGTTATACTGTTTTTTCTCAAAAATTAAGAGATTAAAACTCAATAATCAATTAAAGCATAAACCGTTCAAATATTAAGACATTCGCATTATTTCGAAATGGAGGGGCTCTTTCATTTAAAAAGCACTATTCTCAAGTATAAAAATATCTGAATGAAATCCAAGACACATCCACGCAGTGAAGATAATGGTTGATCCAATCATTGTTAGTATTCATCCAAAAAGCTAATGTAAACACTTCAAAGACAAAAGGCTAGTATTAATTTATAAATATTTTTATACTTTTTATATTTTATTATAAATAAAACTATGCTCATATCAATAAATAAATCTATTAGAAACTATAAGAAGAGGGTATAATAGGAAGGAGAGACATATATAACTCCTATTTTGGGAATAAAAGGATTATAGTCCGCATTTAGGGCTACTTTTAGTCTTACTTAGGGCTAATTAATATTTCATTTTTAACACAAATTAATTGGAATTGAGTGCCCTCCACCTTTTTAGTCATAATTTACTAATGCTGTATCTTTTGTGAATGGACTTCATTTACAATTTTCAGTTATTTTAGTAGCCTAAAGAGTTTGATTTTTTCTTATGTTGAACTTTTGATCTCGTTCTTTCCATTTAGTTTTTATGACACGCTAAACTATTTTATTTTTGTTATTGGAACAAAATACAATTAAAATATTTAAATAAATGGCTGAATTTGAGGTCAACGTATTTTATGAATTTTTGACAGTATATTTCATTTTTAACGAATAAAACACGTCCTTATTAAACACCGTATAATTCCCATACCATATACGAAGCACTATGTATAACTAATCAGGCTTTAACCCAGTGCGGAGGCATTTCTCCACGGCATGTACTGGTATGTGTTGTGCAGGATGACAATCTTCATGCAATTTTCACTATGATTTCCTCGCCCAATGGCCAATACTATTGAATTTGAAGCAACTAGCACCGGCTAGCTGCATCTGTTTTTTTAGCAGCCTCGACGAATATCTGGCCTGAAAAAGCATCCCATTTCTTGTTATTTCTGTTTCTACAACGCACATTAAAGGTCCATGAAAGTGTAGCAGGAATTTCAAATTTGGAATGAAAAAAGTACATGGGGAAAAAGAACAATTCTACAAACTCAACTAATTAATTTTTAATGTTAGTCTAAACTCATTTATATATCTACTCCTGTCCCATTTTATAAGATATCTTTTCTATTTAATAGAGAGGAGAGAATAAATGGTTTTCGTATATTTCACACACATATGAAACTGGTTTACAAGGCTACTATTTATACACATCCTACCCATGTATATAATAAGGTAAGCAATTATACTCACTAAATGACAAAGATTGTAACGGCTAAACACAATATTCTACTTATTCTATTTTAAGTGTAAATTATTTCTTTCCTTCAATACTATTCACTTGGTCAACACAAATCACTTTTAATCTCTTACTTTATACGGAGTATATCGAAATTTTATGAAATTTGAATTATTTTTTGCAGACTTTGTAGCGGTTTTAATGTAGTTTCTAAATATGTAAATTTTATTTTCTAAAACTAATTTGAGTGTTACAGGGATCAATTTGCTTTATCGTCAGTCAAACATTGTAAACCGTAACGTGTCTTATAATTTGAGACAAAGGGTATTTTTTAACATTGGAATCTAAAAATATGAAGAAAAAAATTACTCCCTCCGTCCCATTGGACTTTGCCAACTTTCCCTTTTTGGTTGTCCCAAAAAACTTTGTCACTTTCCTATTAAAACAACTAATATGTGGTTCTACAAATTTCTCTCTCTTATGCACAAATCTCAACCACACAGTTTTTACTATTCTTATTTCGCACATACTTTGCACATACTACCTCTGTCCCATTTTATGTGTCTCCTTTGGTTTTGACACAATTTTTAATAAAGTGGTTGAAAAGGTAAAAGTTGTGGTTGAGATTTGAGTATAGTAAAGGTGAAATGTTGTGAACCACATATTTTTTTCCAAAAAGGGAAAAGTGACACTTATTTTGGGATAACCCAAAAAGAAAAGTAAGACAGGTAAAATGGGACGGAGGGGTACTAACTACATATCATTGTCTTTTGCATCTCCCATGGTTGAAACAAAACACAATATAACTTCCCATAGCACTTTTAGCCTTTCTCTAGCATTTTCCGGGATCCAAACATACCCTTAGGGTAGATTTGAATTGTTTATGAATTTGTATTGGTAGTTGGTGTAAAATCAGAATGATTTGAGGACCCAAAGGTTCGAGAGTACAAAATAAGTCTACAGGCTCATCATTAGCATAAATTTATTATCCTAGGCACCTTATCGCAACTAGTTGGGCTCACCGGTACTAAACTTAAAGCACTAATAAGCTACATACATTAAATATTTAACACTGAATTCATACAGAAATGAAGTGAAAGTTTTTCACTACGCATAATGCCCTTTGATACTTTCACATATCTGTTTTCACATGTATGGAAAATATCATGAATCAGTGATGAGTTGAGATATTTGCTCTTGTCAAGTTCATTACATAATTGATATTGCAGGACCATCATGGATTTCATGAAATATGAGATATTTATTGGCTTCTGAAGTTCTATCTGCAGTTGGTTAAATATACTATGATTTGAGGACCAAATGAAAATAAAGGATGTTAAAATCAAATTTGAAGACTGTAGAACAAAAATCTGGTGCTAATGAACTTTGATGGAATTATTAACCACAGAATGTTAGAATACCTAGCTTACAGATGCATTACTCTTACAAGAACAAGCATCATTTGAGTGGAATTACTTATTTTAAAGCGATTTTCATCCTGCCAGTTCACTAATCGGCGGACGGTCCATCACACTAGATGCAATCTTCGCATTGCTTTTCAGCAGTGGGTCAATATGGGGCAGTTTAGGAACCTGCAATAAAAAATAAATCCAATTAGTAAAGAAAGGGAGTATAGGAAGTCTCTTCAAAGAGTAAAAGGCTAGTCACGGACGTGCACAACAATTCTGCGGCTTAGGGTTCGGGGCCAGGATTTTCTTCATCGTCGTTGGTTTTTAGCTTCATTTTCTCTCTGATTCGACGAGAAGGTAAGGGATGGAGGGTGATGAGGTGGGTACAGTGCAGACTATGGCTGCCGGACTTGCTCCCTCTGCAGGAGGCCTCAGTGCCGCAACCAAGACAACAGCTAGCAGCGGTAGCTTCCTTCAGAACGTGGGATGGAGAGGGATAGGGAGTGACGGTGAAGCGCAGGTCTTGGGTAGGGGATTGCTTTCGATTCCAGTGAACAGAAACAAGTGCAGCTAGCGCAGGACGGAGAAGGCAAGGGTTTCGGTTCAGATGGTTTGTGGGGAGTACGTTC